TTTACTTTAAAATGTTAAAAAAAAAATCATTTACAATACTGAATACATTTGAAGCCATTTTGACGTATATCAATAAGTTTCTGTTTTTCTAGTGTATTTGTATTTTGTAGAGAGTTTTCATTTATTCTTTATATATAAAATCTCGCCTAGGGCAGCAAATAGAACCGGCCCTGGTACTAAGCCTCAAGGGCCTTTCTTGTGCTGGCAGGCACTTCGCACGTGCACACACTAAAAAATTCCATGCGCTCCGCGCTCACATTATGCTGCGCCCACGTGCCTTAGCACCGCTGCTATGACTCCATCCTAGGGGAAACACTGCGCTTGTAATTATGCCTAAGCTTCAAAGTTGTATTTATCATCTGAATTTGGCGAAACAAGTTAAATATTCTTAAAACCAAGACTTTATTTATTTGAAATCAGATGAAAACAAACTGTCACGGACCCTGCCGTGTTATCTACGATTACTATACGCCTTTCATTCATAATTTCAGCGGGAGGGAGGGGGAGCGGCGCTGAGGAACAGCAGAGTGCGGGCTGACAGGTGTCTCTGTTGACACTCCCCTTATTGTGCGTCAGCAGAGACAGGCTGCAAGTGTCTTAGGTTCAAGTTAGACAACTAATGTCTGGGGTAGTGTTCTGGACTTCATGTGTATGTCATCTTAATGGTTGATCTCAATACACACACATGTTCCGTGTTTTCCAATAGTTTAAAATAGTTTTATTCCACTGTTTAATAACCTGTTCAATACAAACATGCCACTTGTAAACATTAAATAACATTTCTGTGAACTGATATTTGTTTAGTGAGCTTATTAGAGGATGTTCCCTGAGAGATCCTAAAATGTCAATGATGTCGGATTTAGTGTATTTGTTAATAATTACATACAATACATGGTGTGTGTGTGTGTGTGTGTGTGTGTGTGTGTGTGTGTGTGTGTGTGTGTGTGTGTGTGTGTGTGTGTGTGTGTTGTTCCAAGTGAATCTGCGGCCCCCTGGTGGCCAGTACATCAATTATGTGGCCCCCACCACCATCCAAGTTGCCCATCCCTGATCTAGGCTGTGCTTTTAGTTTCTCTGAAGTGCTCCCTCTCAAGGTTACAATTCAATATCGAAACAGGTTCCTATTATTAGTCACGGATGTGCGAACAGAGAAGTTCTAAATCAGCAGAACAAAGGAAATGTGTTTTGTATCTTTTTCTGAATGCATTTGGACGTTGTATTTTACATCAGGTGTTTGCTGCTCCCTACGTTAAACTGACTTCTCTTCTAGCTCCACATAGCGTCGGCTAACGGCTACGTGTCCGTGGCGGAGCTGCTGGTGGAGCACAGAGCTCAGATGGAGGCGAGGGACTCTGACGGCTGGACGCCGCTGCACGCCGCCTCCTGCTGGGGACAGGTGAGTGCTGAAACACACGTCGGAGGATAAAACTCTTCCACTTTTCTTAAATGAACCATTTCTATGTTTCTATGTGATCCATAGATCCAGATGGTGGAGCTGTTGGTGGCGCATGGAGCCAGTTTAAATACAAAGTCTGTGCTGGACGAGACGCCTCTGGGTAAGATCATTTATGGTTCTGTATTGCTTCATGGCAAAATAATAATTGGGTAAAAAAGCCATAGCTTTCATCTGATTGTAATCCCAGTGGCACCCAGGCTATGCAGTTACTTAAAAAGCAACAATCACTCTGCTAGAATTTTGTATAAACTGCCTGTGCTAAAATAGGAACTAGTTATCTTGATACATTTCTTAAAGGCCTGTTCATTCTTGTTGGCATCTTTCCTTCCATGTAACCTTTGCTTCTACTGGCGTCTTCAGATGTGTGTATGGATGAAGAGGTCAGAGCCAAACTGATGGACCTGAAACACAAACATGACGCCATCATGAAGAGCCAGGACCGGCAGAAAGGAACGCTGCAGAGACGAGCCTCCAGCACCGGCAGCAGAGGGTGAGAGGGAGCATTACAGACCAGAGGGGGAAGAAAGTACACATGGAGTTGGAGCAGTTCAACCGAAATGTCCCCCTCTCTCTCGTTTGTCTGTGCAGCAAGGTGGTACGTCGCGTCAGTGTGAACGAGCGCTCCAGTCTGTACCGGCGCGAGCACCACAAAGAGGCCATGGTGTGGCAGGAGCGCGGCCGACAGCCGGAGTCTCAGGACGAGGACGAGGACAGACAGACGGACAACGAGCTGCACCGGCACGCCACCATGGTGAGAGAGAAGCAGGAGACAGGCTGACATGACGCTGAGGAGATGTGTCGTGGTTTCAGTCGAACTTGGACACCGCTAGACGAAGCCGATTACACTTCTTAACAAGCTGGTTGTAACTGTTTGGAAAAAGAAACATAATATAATAATACATTTTATTTATAAAGGCGGCTTTCAAGGCTCTCAAGGTCGCCGTACAAGGTACACACAACGAAAACAAAATGACAATTTAGTCAATCAATAATGTCTTGTCTAGTTCTCACTGTTTATTCTTACATTTTCAAAGAGTTCTATCAAACTCCGGTTCAGGGGTGAAAAAGAAAACGGGGTGAAAGCCTTCTTGTTTTCTTTATTATATAAGAACACTTAAGGACACTAAGGCAAGGCAAGTGTATTTATACAGCACCTTTCAACACAAGGCTATTCAGAGTGCTTTACAAAAAATGAAAGACATTAAGAAAATGGTATTTAAAATCAGTCATTAAAAAGAAAAGATAAGAAAAACTACATGGATAAAAGTTACAGTGCAGTCTAAGATGTGAATAGTTCAACTAAGGTAGATAAAGTATTAAACTAAACAAATAAAGAGGACCAGTGTTCACAATGCTGACAATGTGGGCGACATGGGTCTGTGTTCGTTTGTCTCATAATAATAATAATAGATTACATTTGTATAGCGCATCTCAAGGGACCCAAGGCCGCTTTACATGATGAACAAACAAACAAACAAACAAACAAACAAAAGGGGCAAATAAGAAAGTAAAAAATTCAAATAAATAGCAGTTGGAGTGGAAGCAGGGGGGCTGTGATGGGTTAGGGGTCAAAGGCCATGGTGGACAGGTGAGTTTTTAATGATGACTGGAAGATGTCTCATGGTTGCTGTCTCCCTGTTACACGACTAGCTGATTGTCTTCAATGTTCTCTCTGCTGCTCCAGGTCGCTGGTGCCGGAGCCACGTCCCGCCTAGAGGAGCTGGAGTCTGCAGACAGGAGCGTTGTGTCCAGCCTGGGTAACGGAGGGACGTCTTTGTCTCCGGCGTCCTCTGTCCCCGGAGAGGTGTGGAGTGGAGGAGGTCTGATGGACCGCAGCGCCTCCTACCAGCTCAGCCCCTCAGAGGGGGAGGGGGCGGACAGTATGACTCGGGAGAAATCTCACCAAACGCTGGCCGACCTGAAGCGCCAGCGAGCCGCCGCCAAGCTCAACAAGTACCCAGCCCCTCAACCCCCGCTGCCCCCTGCCCTGGAGGAGGAGCCTGCCGCGGAGCTGACCCCCCCTCAGGCACAGCATGAGGTCCAGACCGCCCCCCCCCCTGCAGAGGAGCTCGCCTCCCCCAGCCAGGTGTACTTCACCCCCGCCAGCGGAGACCCTCCCCTTCTGAAACTCAGAGCGCCTGAGGAGGAGCAGTCTAACAATAAGGAGCCCTGCTGTGGACTCATGTAGACACACACACACACACACACACACACACACACACACACACACACACACACACACACACACACACACACACAGTAAATAAGCCGGCGTTATACACTCCAAAGTGGCAAAAAAGCTTTCAGAACAAACAAAGAAATCCTTAAAGACTGAGTTAAGGCCACATGCCAATGAGGGTTTGATCTACGCAGCATCTCAGTGACTGAGGGGCAACCCTTGTGCTTATTTCACGTTTTTTAACACGATACACTCTCTCCACTAAAGGTCCTAACATTCCCTGTGGCTCCCTCCAGATGTCAGGTGTACGTGAGACACTAAAAGAAAAACGACGGATACCAAATAATTGCTTTATTCTGCCTTTTTGTTTATTACTTTATTTATCGTTTACTACACTACACAATTACTGTCGGTTAACATTTCAGATGAATGAAATTCAGTTCAAGATTATTTGTTTCAAATTAAGATGTTTTCTTTTCTGAGTCCTGTGATGGGTGATCCACATTTGCATACATTTCCATTAGGAGCCAGAGATCGCTTTGTGCATGAGAGATTGCTCGGTCATGATGGTTCCAGTCTACAGCAGAGCTCCTCTAAATGTTCATTTACAGAAAGATGAAAACATTTCCTTGATTGTTTTTTTTTATTGGACTTCATTTCCTGATTACTTTTTTTGTTACTTTTCCAGTGCACAGAAAAGCCTACATGTGTAACGGTGCAAGTGTTTTTGTTTAAAATAATTAGCGATCATAAATGCTTCGATTGAAATCAGTGGATCCTCGGCCTATCATAATCACTTCTATTTTTTTTACCCTCTGAATGGAATCACATTATTTATTATCTAATACTGAATATGGCTGACGGTGTACAGTTCCTTTTTTTTTTTTTTAAGATAAAAGTTTGAAAGCAAGATATTTATCAGAGAAATGATATATAATTGAAGTTGTCAAACCAAGTGAACTTGTCATATGATTTATTTCACAGGTTGGTGCCTTCCTTAGGTGGTGATTTGACTTAGGTTTGCAATGCTTGCACAAAGTCCCACATAGAGTTGGGATCAAATGATCTGTCCGATATGAACTCCTACGTGACGTGCGGTCAATGCACTCTCATTTCTGTGTTGTAATTCAGTTTTGCTAGTGATTTTTACTGAGCCTTGTTAAGAAAAAAAACTACATAAAAAAAAGTTTTCATTAATGTTTCTGTCTTTTTTGTCTGTCTGGTTTAGATATACACGTTTGTGAAGAAACATGACGTTGCAACCTACGTTTTGGGTACCTTTACACATTACGCTTAATTTAACTTGGCCTCATGTTAAGGGAACTGACTGTCTTGTGGACATGAAGTGAGCGATGTCTCCCTCTCGTGGTGAAAATGTAAAAGTGTTATGCACAAAGACTTTTCCTCTTACATCATGTGGTCACTCACTTTCAGCTCATCTCGAATGTCACACTCCGTCCTTAATCCACCTGCGAAGGGAAGCACATGATGTACGTAATAAACCCTTCCCTACACTTAAAAGTTTCACATGTACACAGGGGCGCCGCCAGGGATTTTGGGCCCAATGAAAAGATATCAAATTGGTTACTTCCACATTTTTTTCTTAATGTTCTAAAATAGTTTGGGCCCCTGTCCGTCACGGGCCCTTAGAATCGTCCTAAATTTTCACCCCCTTACGGGGCCCCAGCATGTACATAGAAATGTTGGGACTCTTGTCGTCAAGAAGTTAGTTTCCCTTTTTTGTGCTCACACACACACACACACACACACACACACACACACACACACACACACACACACTGTGCAGCACTTGTATGTGGCCTTGGTAACAGCTGTGCATGAAGTGTGTTCAATATGCCCCCCTGCTTATATTCAGAGATGTTTTAACTTTGAGGGCTGTGAGCGACTAACAGAGAGCTGTTTGAAAGTTGTATTTATTATACAATGTCGATGCGTCCTTCAAATTAAGGTGTGGTTTGAAATGGAACAGTGTCAGGTGATGCTGCCAGAATACGCACTGCATGGCTCGGGAAGACTGCAGGGACATCACATGTTGGGATATCAAATGTCTTTCCCAAGACCTTTCCAGGACATCTCGTGGGGTTTCTATGTCTCACACTCACAGCTTATTCTGTGCCTCTCTTTCTGTTGCACTAACAAAGGTTTTTTTTGCACAACAGCTTCTATCTGCTTTGAAATCCTTGCCTTGCCTGTATTCCTAACTCTTACTCGCTTTTGTTGTCGACCAAATTCCAAGTCTCTCATTACCCCCACATTCGTCCAAAACATGTCCTCAAGTCTCATTTCAAAAGAATGTTTGGGTGTGAGCTACTGGAAAGTCTGCTTTTGTCCACTTATTAACAATGTTGCAACTTGCAGAAAATAACCTTTGCATTGTAAGAGCCTTTCTCAAAACTCTCCTTGTTCCTAATGCAGAGCACATGATGGATTAAAGGATCCCTGAGAAAAACATGCTGCCCCATAATTCCTTGCAACACACCCAAGCATTTATGTGAGATACACACCCAACTCAACTTAATTTCCTCAAACACTCGTTTTACCACATTACCATAATGTGGTTTGTCTGCCTTTTTAAAGAGACTTATTTAGGTTTCGAACGCAGCACTGCTTTTATATTGTCCCTTTGGTACAGAATGATAGACTCTTAAATTACAATTCATGAGTGACCAAATAGTTAATTGTCCAAATGACTATCCATATCTATCATTTTAATTTATACTATTGCTATCATTTCACAAATCAGACTTTAGTTACACCTGGAGTAAATTCACAAGCCAACACTTTAATGCATCAATAATTATAATCAAAACATATCATTATATAAATTATTCTCAAATGGACCGATCTGCACAATGACTACTTTAACTTTTGGTACTTTAAGTTTATTTTGATGATAGTACTTTTCTACTTTTACTTTTGAATGCAGGACTTTTACTTGCACCAGAGTATTCCTACACTCTGGTACTGAGTACTTCTTCCACCTCTGCCTTTTAAGAGTACAAGGTTTTGAAGAAGTGGGATATCTACATTCCTTTACGTAAAGGGCCCATGGATGTTATATATTTCCCACGGAACGTAAAGGCGTCCTTATGGCACGCTGAATTGTGAGGGGAAGTTGGAGAAGGAACCAGCCAACCACGAGCGAAGGCGTGTCTCGCCGGTGGGAATATGAACACGAGACGCTCAACTGTCATTCGGAGCTCGAGGAGTGCGTGTGGAGGTAAATAACACGAGGCGAGCACTCTGAGCTCCTCGCGGAACAACTGGCAGAGCTGGTGAGTTCTTTTGCTCAAGTACTGCACTTAAGTACAATTGTGAGGTACCTTTTTTGAGTATTACCATGTAATGCTACTTCTACTCCAAAAGGGAAATAGTGTAAATATACTTCACTACATTACATAAACAGCTACTTTTAACGAAATGCATCTCTAAAAAAATTGAACTAGTGGACTCTTTAAATCACAAAAGAGAGACATATTTGAATAATGTATAGCCTACTAAAAGTCATCAGAGCTTTGTTTGTATACAACAGTCAAATGCGACTTAATGCAACAATGTTATCTAGAAATCTCTCATAATAAATTATACACACAATGTTTCTGCACAATGAGTACTTTTACTGTGATACGTTAAGTACATTTACCTGATTGTACTTTTACAAAAGGAGAATGTGAATACTTCTTCCAGCTCTGAGGGTAACTCCTGACGCCCTTTAACTGCCCGTGTACAGTCACAGGTGTTCACTGTGCAGTATCTAAAACTCTTTCTCTGTCAGATACCCAGACAGAAGCAACATGTCACATCAGGCGATGAACGGGTTCGGGGGCAAGGTGCTGACCCTGGAGAACATGAACCCCAACGTGAGGAAGGTGGAGTACGCGGTGCGAGGAGCCATCGTGCAGCGCGCCGTGCAGATAGAGAAGGAGCTGAAAGAGGTGAAGACTCGTGGAGTTTAGCGAGCTAATGCACAGAGGCGGGGGTAGGACTATTGTTGCAAAACATTGAAATACTCAAGTAAAGTAGGCCTACTAGTATCTCAAAAGTGTACTTTAAATGAACACAGTTACTATAGGCTACCACTGTTGATAAAGCACAAGGGATGTTTTTATTAATATTTCAGTCGTGCTGACGCGGGAAGTTTAGAGCGGTTATTATTCATTTCCATGATATAACGGGGAAGTTGACGCTTTTATGTGGAACGTTTGGTTTTATTGTTTTTCACATAGCTACGGGTAGGCCTACAAGCATATAGTAAACTCCAAATGTTGAGAATTGAAATAACGTGTTTGTGGGATAGAAAAAGATGTGAAAAGCTGTTGAACCACCTGGAAATTGACTTAAGCCAAAAGCCAAATACTAGTCTGTTTTTCTTTTGGAAATGAGTTTTAAGAGCAAAAACAAGTTATTTCCCTGCTTTTTTTCAATCACAAAAATATTATTACTGTATTTTCCCAAACTCTTTTTTAATCAATCAAACCTTGAGTGGCTCTCAGTGTATTTTGGCACCAATCATAAGCTGTGAAGGAAGACACGAGTTATTTACCATGCTCTTTTTCCTCAATATATATGTCAACAAAACGAAGAGGGAGGAAAGACAAGGCTATAAACCTGACTAGTGACATGCGAGCATTTGATAGCTTGTGCTGAGAGAGTGGAGGCAGGAAGTAGATGGTAGTTGTTTTTAAAAGCCCCTGCATGACAGCTTGTTATGTTCTGCGCAGCACTCCTCATCTCACATTACATCCTACAGTGGTCATTTGGATCCAGCAAGCATTCCTCAGCACTTTAAACAAGGAGCGACGCAGCCCTCAGTAGTTATGTCCTTTTTATTATAGAGCCACATCCTGGAGGGAGGTACTAAGGGTTTGCATTTCAGGGGTAAAGCGAGAGGATGTGTATGGTAGAAGGTTATTACGTAAGATGAGAGGCGACATTCTCTTTCCTCTTTTGTGTCTCTGGGTTTGCTCACCTCCCTCCTCCTCCTCACTGAGGGGGGGGGTTCATTGGACAGAGCTGCAGCTGTCAGGCCCCGCAGCGTCACAGGCCTTTCTCTGCGAGGACCTCCAGTACACGCAGCCCAGTTTCTGCTCAAAGTGCTCCAGTTCTTGGGAATCCACTTGTTTAGCCTCCAGTGATGAAAGGAACAAGGAGCAGCTAGAAAGCTCTCCTGCAGCACCATCGTTTGCTTACGAATTGTACAGATTTGATTTCAGACATTTGTTACTCTTGCAGCAATAAAAAAGGGAGTTAAATGAAAGTGAAATCCAGGAGTTTTTCTGCGAGGTCAGGAGGGTTTCCATCCGATGTCCAATCAGCTGGGAGTGTGTGTTTCCTGTCAGACCTGTGACTGGAACACTTCTCCTGATGGCTCAGCAGATTTTATGCAAGAGTGTGTTATACGGCTGGTGTGTTGATGACCCTTATTCATCCTTAACCCAGACATCTAGCTAAGCTTTGATCTAAAGTCTGCACTGTCAAGGACAAGAGACCAGGGAAGAAAACTTCTTTTATTTAGTTATAATTTGTTTAATCACAAAAGTATTTATCTTTCTTTTATTTTCTTTGTGTGGAAAAACATTGGCAGGAATTGCATTTTTCGCATGAGCAAACCTTTCTTATTATTCTAGCCTGACTGGACACCGTAAGGACAGTGTATCAGATTAATCATAGACTGAGTGAGATTCAGCATGTTGGCCCTGAGGATCTCTCTCTCTCTCTCTCTCTCTCTCTCTTTCTCTCTCTTGTCACTCTCTCTTGTCTCTCTCTCTCTCTTGTCTCTCTTGTCACTCTCTCTTGTCTCTCTCTCTCTCTTGTCTCTCTTCTCTCTCTCTCTCTCTCTCTCTTGCCTCTCTCTCTCTCTCTCTCTTGTCTGTCTCTCTTGTCTCTCTCTCTTGCCTCTCTCTCTCTCTTGTCTCTCTCTCTTGTCTCTCTGGGCTCCGGCCTGTGTAATCAGTGCCTGGCGCAGNGGGCTGACAGGTGTCTGTGTTGACACTCCCCTTATTGGGCTGACAGGTGTCTGTGTTGACACTCCCCTTATTGTGCGTCAGCAGAGACAGGCTGCAAGTGTCTTAGGTTCAAGTTAGACAACTAATGTCTGGGGTAGTGTTCATGACTTCATGTGTATGTCATCTTAATGGTTGATCTCAATGAACACACATGTTCCGTGCTTTCCAATAGTTTAAAATAGTTTAATTCCACTGTTTAATAACCTGTTCAATACAAACATGCCACTTGTAAACATTAAATAACATTTCTGTGAACTGATATTACACACACACACTGTGTGTGTGTGTGTGTGTGTGTGTGTGTGTGTGTGTGTGTGTGTGTGTGTGTGTGTGTGTGTGTGTGTGTGTGTGTGTGTGTGTGTGTGTGTGTGTGTGTGTGTGTGTGTGTGTGTGCGCAAAATGTGCTAGCCAGAGCTGGGAACAACACACGTGATTATATTAGGATTTCATTTTCCTACCACCAAAGCCCTAAAGAAATGAAATCGGGATAGCTTTTTGAATTTCAAACACAGGAGTTGTAAGACGTCTGAATCAACACAGATGAATCACTTTTGTAAACAAGGGTGTGCGGGATATGCAAAAAACATTTTCTCTCTCTTTGACTCTGGGCATAAGAAGGGAATACCTTTCTTTGTTTAGAGAGGTTTTTATGTCTCCATGCTGCGGCTGGAGGCATTCGTTTTTGAGGGTTTTCCATCCCATTCACTCTGTAAATGTCTTAACATTTTAAATCAAGGATCTCACAAAACACATATTTGGCCATAACTGTAATAATGACAATTTCACACAGATGTCTCGTAGGATTAAATGATGACAATTTGAACTGTTATTGACTAGTGGGCGGAGGACGCTGTAATTCCTAATTTGAATTGAAGCCATAAAGTCCTCCCTATCCAGATGAATGTCTCCTCCCCTCGTTAAAGTTTCACACATCCTGTTTGTGAAGCTGATGCTACATGCAAGAGATAATGGATGTAAAGTATTTATGATACAAGTCAGCCTGTTCTAACTTCTTCTCACATGCTGTGTTTTCTGTCTTTTGCATTTTCAGGGAGTCAAGAAACCTTTCACAGAAGTCATCAAGGCAAACATTGGTGACGCCCACGCCATGGGTCAGAAACCAATCACATTTTTCAGACAGGTCAGACATCTTTTGAGTGCCTTTTAATTTATTTTTTGGTTGTTTTTTCTTACTTTTTATTTTCTTCAACTGTGTTGATGTATGCACCAAGACAAATGCCTCGTATGTGTAAACCTACTTGGCTATAAACCTGTTTCCTATACTTCCATGTTAAACTGGCCTTACTGGATTTACACAGACTAAATGCATAGGTGGAAGAATTACTCAGATCTTGTACTACTAAAAGTTGAAGTACCAGAGTGTAGGAATACTCTGTTTCAGTAAAAGTCCTGCATTCAAAATGTTCCTC